TCTATGGTATTAGGAAAGTTTTTATTTATTTATTTATTTATTTATTTATTTATTTATTTATTTTTAGGAAAGTGTTTTGGTTGAAGAAATTCTCTACCCTATGAGATACTTAGAAGATGGAGACCTATGGCTTGAAGAAATCAAAACTGGACTATGAAAAAGACTATGAGTTAGAAGAGTGAAAAAAGAACTCTCAATTACAAAGCAGTTACTACAGTGAAACTGAAACAAGAAGGGAAAGTATCTGGGAACCAGGTGTATATTTGAAAAGCTATCCAAAACTACATGGTAAAAAGATTAGACAGAACTCATTGCTGTTGTTGAACACATATCCTACTTTTTAAATTCTCAAAAAGGCACATATTCTTCATAGTTTTTTATATCCTGCCATTTGAAATTAAACGAGAATATGCTAAGTATCAGAAATCCTTCAAGTCCTTCTTTCACTCCCATTTCCCCTGAAAAAGACATGTTTAAATTAAAACTGGCATTTGAGTTTCTATTTCCATCTAGTTTAACAATATATTAATTCAAATAGATACCTTAAAATTCAAACAAAATGTTGGTACAGAATAGTATTATGAAAAAGAGACATGGCTGTTAAAATCAAAATTGAATCATTTAAAGTCATAGAAAGATTAATGCATTTATTTTACTGAACATTAGAACTGACAAATTAATTCTATTTTAGATCATTTCAAGATATGTTTAGCAGCTTTAGTGAGAATAATCCATGTAGCAAAAATTCAAGCATTTTATTATTTAATAAGTATAATTAAACATATTTACATGTGTAATCTTCACTGTTATCTAAATTTAAAAATATTTTATGTTAATTAACAGAAAATTGTACAAATTTATGTGATATGATATATTTCAGAACATGAATATAATGTATGATAATCAAAAAAGGATAACTAGCATATTCAATTGCTTTCTATTGAGAACATTTAATATCATCTTTTCTAGATATTATTAAACTATACTACTGCACTATGAATCAATCTTTGTTTTTAAAGAGATCCTGTATCCATGCCATTCTATGTCATATTTCTTCCATCTTGTCATACTAGAAATAAATAAATCTGCAACTTTTTGCTATGGAATTTATCTATTCTAGGCATGTAACTAATGTAGAGGCAAAAACTGCATGCTTTTGAAGCTTTTGACAGGTCACAGGTTAAGAGCATTTGTTGTTCTTCCAGAGGAGAAGGATTTGATAGCAATATCCACATTGTGACACAAAACTCTCTTTACTTCTGATCTTCATGGGCAATAAGTATGCACATGGTGTACACACATGCATGCAGGCAGGCAAACACTCATACATAAAATAACAAGTCTAAAATAATTTGAAAATGTATGCTCTTATTTTGCCATCTGGTATGCTTTTACTTGGCATGATTACATAATTACACACTACGAAATACTATTCAACAGTAAATAAAAATGGAATCATGACCTTTGTTAATAAATGAGTCTAGAAAAGATCACGTAGAGTGAAATAACCCAGACACAGAAAGGCAAATATTACATTTTTCTCTCTCATTACAGGCTCATAGCTCAAAATCTTTAGACATAAATAAATATTCTGGAATAAATGCAGAAACCAGGAAAGACAAAAGAGGCCATTGCTGATATAGAGGGGTTTGGGGAGCAATACAAAGAAAAATATCAGGGTGCGAGTGATTTGACTGGAAAAAAATGGGAAAGTGGGGGAAAGCTTCCAAATGGGGAGTAAACAGTGCCACAGAGTGATAATGCCTTTGATCCACAGCAATCAGTATGTCGAGATAACATGATGAGAGCAGAAATATCTCACATGCCTTCACAGTAAACAAGAGTCTTCAATAGGACTTAGTGCCCACACAGCAAGGGGTAAACCATGCCTAGTACTGGAAACCTAGCTAACTGCCCAGGGATAAAGAAGTCATGGATCTTGAAGGAAAACTGACAACCACTACTTTACTAAATCAGCATAAATTCCCTGACTAAAATATAAATGTTGTTTTCCTTACATCCACAGATAAATGTAGCAATCGCCCCTCCAACAAAGAAAATTTTGTTTACAACAGACTGAGACCATTAAAGAAAATCGCAATATCAAATTGCAGAGTTGTAGAGCCCAGTCCCAAAAGACATATTTAAACAAGACAACTCCTGAACCTAAGAGTCAGGTAATATTGAAGAAGAGGGGCAAAAAGATTGTAAGGGCCAGAGTAGCAGTGATTTTCAGTAAGATTGTGTCTCCTAGTAATACCAGAAGCTGATGTGGGAGTGATTTCTTATTAATAAAGAAACTGCATAGGCCCATTTGATAGGCCAATCCTTAGGTAGGCGGGAAAAACAGAAGAGAATTCTGGGAGAAAGAAGCTTAGTGAAAGAGTCGCCATGATTCTCCTGCTCCAGACAGACGCAAGTTAAGATCCTCCCTGGTAAGCCAGCTCGTGGGCTATACAGAATATTAGAAATGGGTTAGAACAATATGTAAGAGCTAGCCAATAAGAAGCTGGAACTAGCCGGGCCAGGCAGTGTTTGAAAGAATACAGTTTCCGTGTAATTATTTCGGGGCATAACCTAGCCATGCGGGTGGGCAGGTGCCGGGGACGCAGCCCTGCCGCCCTTAATGCAACAAGAAGCTACACACATAAAATTCTCATCAACATGACTACCAAAATATGAGCTGAACAAGGACAACAGACATGCCAAAGTGGATGGGGGAAGCCCAGCAGGCTACACAAGTAATGAACTAAAGTCATCCAAGGAATGTTGAGATTAAAAAATTAACTTCTCAGGGAAAAACATACCTGTTGGTTATCCAATGGTCATCCCTTAAAGCATACATACCAGTAACATTATACGGACTCAGCATGCTATACTTATCACATTCAGAAATGCATGTGCATGCTCACACACACTTATGTACAAAGTAAGAAATAATAAAATATAAAAAAGAGGTCATGATTTTGAAAAGAAAGTAGGGAGAGGCATATGGGAGGGTTTGAATTGAAAAAAGAAAAGAGGAAATGATGTAAGTTTAGAATAAACTCAAAAAAATAAAACGATTAATTTTAAAAAGAGATTGTACCTTTAAGGAAACCTATAATCTACAGGGGGGAGCCAGATAAACAGATACATGTTATATTGAAACAATTTTGTTCAAGGACAAATAAAGAACCGAAGTGAAATAGGTGAATTTAAACCTAGTTTGGAGGGAATATTAGATAATAATAACTTTATTTTATAAAAAAATACAATTGAAAACCTTAATAAAAACGAAACTGTACAATCTTCTGCTTAGTTCTAGGACTTAGATTGAACTTCACGCATCGAGTATTAGCAAATTCTACTCTAATCACAAAAGATTTGCATATATCCTGAGAAAAGGAGTTGATTTAAAACTAAAAACGCATTTCCAAACATTTCTGAATAAAAACAGTTAATGCTGAGGACAAGAAGAAAACTGTATATATTGGCTATATTAGCAACTAGATTTTGCAAAAGGAATTTCAGGCTCTTGGTAGAGAATTCAATGTAGATGTTTACTGGGAGAAGAGTTAAATAATTTTGTATACCTTACCATGATCTGTTCACAAAAGAATTCATTAAAGATTATTTTCACAGAGTGATATACAACATGACAGCCATAAATAAAGTACAAACCGAGTTTAATACTTTACAGAGCTGAAAATGCTAGCAACAACGCTAGGGGTGTTTTTAATATCCAAATTTCGAGAGCATTTCTATATATATTTCATCATTTCTTCTCCTAGACATATTAAAAAAGCATCTTTTTTCTTTTTTTATTGCTTTATAAATAATACCATTCAAAATTTTACCTCCTCCCCTCCTCCCAATTCCCTCCCACTCCCCCTCCAGTCCTAAGAGAAGGCAGGGTACCCTGCCCTGTGGGAAGTCGAAGCCCATCCCCCTCCCATCTAGGCCTAGGAAGGAGTGCATCCAAACAGACTAGGAACTCAGAAAGCCAGTAAATGCAGTAGAATCAAATCCCAGTGCCATTATCATTGGCTTCTCAGTCTGCCCCCATTGTCAGCCACATTCAGATAGTCCGCTTTGATCACTTGTAAAAAGCATTTCTTAATATCTCACCTTGAAGATCGTGAAATGATAGCCATCTTGAACCAACCAAAATAAGTCATATATGTATGGCTCCTTTTATATCAATTTTTGCATTGCAAATTATAACTGTTTAAAGAAAAATATCATACCGCATTTGTTGGTTTTCCATATAACATGTCGATGACTCTCATAATTTGTATTCAACCAACTAAGTAGAATCCTTTCAGCATTAGAATATATGTTGCTGGATGCAAAACAGGGGTTGATTTTTGAAGTGCTCGCCCCACATATGCGTGGAGCAGAACTGTAGGAATGTGGTGTCACTCGAGATAGAATCATAACCTGGAATTTCGAAAGAAATAATTATTACAGTCAGATGGAAAATAAACTCACATCTTGAAAAGCTAATTATCCCAACTAGATAGGTAAGGGAAGACACTAGTATTTTGTGGTTAATGGACTTTGTCTAGAACAAGAGAATTGATGAGGGATGTCCCACTAGTGGTCAGTTCCAGTCTTCAACTTTTTGCTTGAATACCATTTATACTATGGAGTTCCTTACTATGCAACTTGTAACAAGACACTTCTTAACTTTTTTTTTTTTAAAAAAAAAAAACTATACTTGACAACAGACCCGTTAGAATGACAATTCATTAACTGACATGAATTTGGCATGCTTTTAGTTTTCTTACAGTTTACAAAACTTAAAATTTTAAATATCAAGATTACTTATCTGTATTAGTAACTATTCTTTGTTTTACCCATCTGTATTAGTTACTTTTGATGCTATAAGAAAATATCTGAAAAGAGTAGGTTAAGGAAGAAGGGCTTTATATTAGGTCACAGTTTTAGGGATGGGAGTCACTGTATCCAAAAATGTGAGATAACTGATCACATTGCAACCAAAGTCAGGAAGCAAATATGGATGAACATAAGTGATAGGGTCAGGGAGGCAGACCAGAGCCATGATAGATTTCTAATAGCCCCTGCCAGGGATCAGGCCATAGTTTCAGTTTACTGGAACTGACTGGTGCTGAGCAACCAGTTTTGGGGAAAGACAAAACCCAGGGGCAACCAATTAGAGGGTACCCCACCACCTTGTTCAGGCTAAAGAAAGTAAAGATAGTTTCTCCGACCCTGCAGCTGACAAGTCCCTAATCATTGAGTGGCCAACCAATCCTATAACAACCCATAAACTGCTTGTTTAAATCTACCAATCAGCCCCCAGACTAATCTCTCCTCCCTGGAATTCCCATATCTAGGTTTAACTGGGGCCTGTGAGCATCTTGGGCTATTGCCATGTGCCATCCCATCATGTTGGATTAATAAAGTGTTCTTGCTAATTGCATACATAACTGGTGTTCTTTTATGGGGGCTTCTCTTGGACCTTAACAGTGAGTACTCAAATTGCTTTCTTTTTATCCCAACCTAGACCCTAGCCTATGTAATGAATGGTATTGCCTATATTGAGAATGAGCATCTTATCATAATTGTCCAATCTAGTCATTCTTTCACAGATAAGTCCAGAGATTTTTCTTCTAGATACTGTAAATTTGACAGTCAATATAAACCATTATCCCACTCAAAATACAGTTTAATATTAAACTTAATGGGTATTTTTGTTGGTTGATTGGTCACTAGATCTCATGTATCTCAAGCTAGCCTCTAACTGGCTTTGAAGCCAAGGCTGGCCTGTACCTCTGATTTCCCTGTCTTTTCCTGCTGAACTGGGAATATAGGTGTGTGTCAACATGTCAGGCATATGTGTATTAAAGGAAATAAAGTTACAAAGGCAATTCAATGTACTTTTATCTCATGCTGTTAATTTTGGTAAGGAATGTCACAATTTCGTTCACTAAAAGTGCACTGCATATGAGAAGCAGAAAAATATATCAAAGATGTACTAAGAGCTACCTTTCAGAAGTTTTTGGTATAGATTCTAGATGACAGCAACAATGAGTTTTATTTCATTATATATTTAGCCAGATAACATTATTCAGTTATAGAGTGACAGATATTGTAAAGCATTCTAATTAAATGAGTCTGCTCTACTCTTTACATTATATGCATACTTCTACCTCAGTTCACAAAGCACATCTTGATAATATCATAGCTAGTTCTCCAACATCTTGGATGTGAAGAACACAACCTGAGTGACATATTTTCTAGATATATGGTTGCACTGTTCACATCTACCCAGCATTCACCTCTCCATTCTGAAAGTTTATTGTGGACAAATGCCAATTATCACTAAAGGGAATGTTTCCCTGACAAAGAACCACAGAGCCCACATAGCCCACTTCTCAAACAAAATGTTTGATACTTATCTCAGAGCCTGCTCCTGGGATAATCCAACTTAAAAAATTTTCATATTCACATGTGTAACTACAGAAAAGGCGCTCATATCCTCATGTATCATATATTTATGCTATATCTCAAGTATGTACAATTTAAAAATGTGAAAGGTCTCATACTGTCCTTTCCTTTCCATAATGGAAACTACATAGAATTTTTACCAAATAAATCTAATGTAGAATTTTGGAGTTTTATCTGAGCTATGTGGTAAGAATAGCAATCCATAAATATGAAAAGCATTATTTTAGCATTTCTTATTAATTTTTATGGTAGAAATATAGCATGTATTAGATCTATAACTCCTTAGTTTCAAATCTGATATACTTTAAAATGCAACCGAAAGTCTTGGAAAAGGATTCCTAGTCCTTTCTGAGGAAAAACAAATGATGAATTACATAACTACAGCTAATGACATAAATGTTTGGCTCTGTTAATCTGAGGGAACTTTGAAATCATCTGTCAACTATCACAGCTACTTTGGAAAGAGAATAAGATTTACAAGCGAACATTTACTAGGATGACAGATTTAATGATGGACAGATATCATTATATAGAGGTATAATTTAATACAGAAAGACTCAAAATATACACAGAAAATTGTTTTTACAGAAGTGCTGTTACTACCACTGCTGAAATATTTACCCATTTTCCCTGTGCCACAGAGAGATAGTTATTTAAATGTTTTAATATACATAGCTATATTATTGATATGAGTAATAAAAGCATATAGGAAACATAATACCTCACACACACACACACAAAAAAAAAAACTGGTCGGTGGTTGCACATGCCTTTAATCCCAGCATTTGAGAGGCAGAAGGAGGCAGACCTCTGTGAGTTCAAGTACAGTCTGGTCTACAAGGGCTAGGAGAGGGGCCAAAGCTACAAAGAAACCCTGGATCTCAAAAAAAAAAAAAAAAAAGACTTCACACAAATCAGACACATTTGGAGGAACATGATAGTATTCGATGTTTAACATAAAAATCATGAAAGTATGAATTGATGGAATAAAATGTGAAGTACAAAAGGCAGAATACCTTGTTAAGTATGTCAACTAATTTGGAGATATAATCCTTGGCACCTAAAAGTCCATAAGTTAATTGACATTATCTACCATTATTTAAAATTTGCTTATTCACTCTAACTCAGAAACTGTCAGGTTTCATAAGAAAAAAAATCAGTAAATATGGACTAAACATAGTTCAAAAGCCTGGAACCAACAAAACTTGAATATCTAAAATACATGAACAATTTTCCCCATAAATACCACTTAACAAAGTGAAATCAAGATTAGATAAACAATTTAAATAGACCTATAACTGACAAGGTAATAGAAGCAATATTAAAACTATCCAAACTACACATACAAAAGTCTAGGGCCAGATCTAAGTGCAAAATGTTACCAGATATTTGAAGAAATCTAGCACCAGCACTCCACAAATTATTCCATGAAATAGAAAGAGAAGGAACACTGAAAATTTCACTTTACGAGGCCAAAATCACCATGGTACATAAACCACACAAATTCAAGAAAGAAAGAAAATCAAAGACCAATTTCCCTCAAGAACATTGATAGAAAAACACTCAATAAAATACTGGCAAACCTAGCCCAATAACAAACAAAAAATATCATCCACCATGACCAAGTAGGATTTAACCCAGAGATGCAGGGCTGGTTCAACATAAGAAAATCTGTCAATGTAATTCACCATATAAAACAAATGAAAAGAAAAATTCAGCATCATTAGATGCTGAAAATGCCTTTGAAAAACTCCAACACCTTTCATGTCAAAAGTCTTAAAGACATCAGGGATACAAAAGACATACCTAAACATATTAAAAGCAAATATAACAACATCATATTAAATGGAGAGAAACTCAAAGCAATTCTACTAAAATCAGGGACAAGACAAGGTTATATACTCTCTCCATATCTATTCAATATAGTTCTAGAAGTTCTAGGTAGAGCAATAAGACAACTAAAGGAGATCAAGGGGATACAAATTTGAAGGAAGGAAGTCAAAGTATAGCTTTTTGTATTTGATCTGATAGTATACATAAACTAACCCAAAAACTCTACCAGGAAACTCCTACATCTGATACATACCTTCAGTAAAGTGGTTGGATACAAAATTAATTGAAGAAAAAAAACAGTAACCCTACTATATACATACAATAAATAGGTTAAGAAGATATCAGAGGGGAAAAAACACCCTTCAAAATAGACACAAACAATATAAAATATCTTCGGGTAACTCTAACTAGGCAAGTAAAAGACCTGTATGACAAGAACTTCAAGTCTTTGATGAAAGAAATTGGAGATGAAAGAAATTGGAGAAGATATGAGAAGATGGAAAGATCTCCCATGCTTATGGATCAGTAGACTTAACATAGTAAAAATAGCCATCTTACCAAAAATCAATCTACAGATTCTAAGAAATACCCATCAAAATTCCATCACAACTCTTTATAGACCTAGAAAGGACAACCCTCAACTACATATGGAAAAACAAAAGTCCTAAGATGGCTAAAACAGTCCTGTACAAACTTCCAGAGGTATCATCACCTCCAATTCAAGTTTTAATATAGAGCTATATATTAAACTCTATATTTAAAATAAAAAACTACATGATATTTGCATAAAACATGCAGGTTGATCAATGGAATTGAAGACAGAATAGTAAATCCAAATATCTATGGAGACTTGATTTTTGACAAGAAAACCAAAATTATATAATATAAAAAAGAAAGCCTCTTCAACAAATGGTGTTGGTTTAACTAGGAGTCAGCATGTAGAAGAATGCAAACAGATCTGTATCTATCACCTTGAACAAACTCTAATCTAAGAGGATCAAAGACCTCAACATAAATCCAGCTACATTAAACTTGTTAGAAAAGAAAGTAAGGAATAGCCTTGTTCAGTAGCTGTTCAGGAGACAACTACATGACCAGAACACTAATTACAAAGGCACTAAGATCAACAATTAACAAATGGGACCTCATGAAACTGAAAAACTTCTGTAAAGTGAAGGACACTATCAATAGAATAAAATGGCAGTCTAGAGAATGGAAAACCATCTTCACCAATGCTACATAAGACAAAGGGCTAATTTCCAAAATAAATATATAACTCATGTAATTGGACATGAAACCCCAAATAATCCAATTAAAAATGGCTTGCATATATAAACAGAATTTTCAACAGAGGAATCTCAAAATGGCCCAAGAATCACTTAAAGAAATATTATTCAACACCCTTAGCCATCAGGAAAATGAACATCAAAACAATAGTGAGATTCTATCCTACACTTGTCAGAATGGCTAAATACACAAGTGGCAGCTCATGATGGAGAGGATGTGGTGCAAGAAGACCACTCCTTTATTGCTGGTTAGAAGTGCAAACTTGTACAGTTACTTTGGAAATCATATGGCAGTTTCTTAGAAAATTGGGAATCATAGCATCTTAAGAACCAGTTATAACACTCTTGGGCATACACCCAAAGGACACTTAACCATACTACTGGATACTTACAAAACTCTGTTCATAGTAGCTTTGTTCATAATAACCAGAAACTAGAAACAACCTAGATGCCATTCAAGTGAAGAATGGATAAAGTAAATGTGGTACATTTACACAATAGAGTACTACTCAGCAGTAAGAAAAATGATATCTTGAAATTTGCAAGCAGATGGATAGAACTAGAATTATACATCCTGAATGAGGTAACCATGACTAAGAAAGACAAAGATGGTATGTACTCACACGTAAGTGAATATAAGCAGTAACGTAAAGGAGAACCAAGCAAGTTATGACCCACAGACCAAGAGAAGATAAATAACAAGGAGGGCTCAAATGGGACAGGGTATATGAATCTCAATGTGAAAAGGAGGGGTTTGTAGGTAGAATGGGAACAGGAGGGATAAGGTGAGTGGCCAATAGAGGGATAGAGCACTGGGAAAGACAACTATAATTTGGGGACATCTCTGGGATGAGCTGGAAACCTAGAACAATAGAAACTCCCAGGTATCTATGAAGGCAACCCTCTAGCTAAAGCTCCTAGTAATTGGTGATATTACCCTGAACCAGCCATCTCCTGTAACCAGACAAGACTGGGGAAGGACTGACACATCAAAACAGCCACAAACACTTTGACCTATAATCCTACTATGGGACTGCCTCATCCAGCCTTAATGGAAGAGGAGGTGCTTGCACTTACTGCAGCTGGATATACCATGACCAGCTGATAGCCACAAGAGGCCCTCCTATATCTTAAGAGAAACAGCAGAGGAGGAATGGATGGGGTGAGAAAGGAGGAGAAGCCATGTGTGGATGAGCTAGAAAGAGGGAGGAAAGACTAAATTTTGATTGGGATACAAAAACTAAATAAAATTGATTAATACAAAATATATGGATTAGACCACAAAAGAAAAATATAAAAATAAATTGTTATAAGAAGCTACATTGATGGGCTGACGAGGGGGGGGGGGCTTGATTGGGGGAGGGGGAGGGAAAGGGGAGGCAGAGGTGGGGAAGAGACAGAAATCTTTAATAAATAAAAAATTTAAAAAAAGAAGCTACATTGATAATAGTCATAAATAAAAACAATAAATGATGGAGGGGGTCATCTGTCTATCTGTTGCTTACATTGGTTAATTAATGAAGAAACTGCTTGGCCTGATAGGTCAGAAGATAGGTAGATGGAGTAGACAGAACAGAATGCTGGGGAGAAGTGAGGCAGACTCCATGATTCTTCGACCTGAGACGGATGTAAGGCTAGAATCTTTCCCAGTAAGCCACAACCTCGTGGTGCTACCCAGATTATTAGAAATGGGTTAATCAATTAGCCAATAAGAGGCTAGAACTAATGGGCCAAGCAGTGTTTAAATGAATACAGTTTATGTGTTGTTATTTTGGGTATAAAGCTAGCCAGGTGGCGGGACACAGCCCGCAGTTCCTTCAACAAATAAAGAAAAAGTAAAAGGGAATCTTTTGTCAGCTTTGTTTCTAAACTCCTAAGAAATTGCAATTCTGGGCAATGCCCATATATTTGATGCTTCATTTAAATATAGTAACAAATATTCTCACATTAGTAACTTATTATATTAAAGGAACAGATTTTCAACTTATTTTAGGAAAAGATTAAGTCAGAAAGCCTATCCTATAGCTGAAAATCTAGTACAAAGGACAGAATACACCAATGGCAGTTCTAGGTCATTTACTTTCCAATAATTTCATAACGAAGAAAAAACTAGTTTATTTAACCTACCATGTTCTAAAATTATTTGTAGCAGCATTTTCACTACTAAAACTATTGCACTAATCATGTGCCTAAACAAAAGCATAACGGGTAACAAGAGTGGAATTATTACCTTGTATATCTGAAGAAATACATCTGTCCATGCCCGTGTACTCCAGGCTTCAAAATTATCCATGTCTATATTAACTGAATACTTTTCCTTAATTGTACAGAGAGCTGTATTTTTAGTGGAGGTCTTGAAGAAATGAAATACAACATCATAAATTAAAATTCAAAGCAAAAATTAGTGTCAAATTTTAATTATATAAGGTTTTTTCCTTTTTAAAAAAATTGAGATGATCATTTTATACATTTACACCTGTGAAAGCACAGAAAATACTCATACAGAGTATTTCTAGGGGTAAAAGTTACACACCGTGATAATTTGAAAGAAAATGGCACCCAAAGGGAGCCATTAGGAGGTATGGCCATATTGGACTAGGTGTGGTTTTGTTGGAAGAAGTATGCTATTAGGGAGGCAGGCTTAGAGGTCTCATATATGCTCAAGCCATGCCCAGTGAGTCAGTTCACTTCCTATTGCCTGCAAGATGTAGAACTCCCAGCTCCTCTTCTAGCACCATGTCTAATCCCAGCTCCTTTTCTATCATCATGTCTCCCTGTATGCTACCATGTCCTGTCATGATATTAATAACTCTGAAGTCAACATAAAAGCACAGTACAAGTTCCTGTCTTTCTTTGGCATATCAGTTTGTGACTTCCACAACTAAAATTCATATACCCCAAAAATAATTATCAGCTAGAGGTTTTCATAAGATGTATTAAGAGAAAAATATATATTTAATGATTAATTTCTCTTCAGTCTCCCCTAACACCACGTAAAGGGAAGTAACAAGTTCCTATGTGCTGTAGAATAATGCTCTTATACACTGTAAAGATTTGTCACTTGTATTGGTTTAATAAAATGGTGAGTGGCCAGTAGCCAAGCAGGAAAAGTAGAGGTGGACTGACCAGACTAGGAAAATTATGGGAAGAGGAAAGGCAGAGAGTCATTCACCACCCAGATGCAGAGGAATCAAGATGAGAATGCTGCACTGAGAAAAGGTACCAAGTCATGTGGCTAAACATAGAAAAGAATTATGGATTAATTTAAGTTATAAGAGCAAGTAAATAACAGGCCTGAGCTAATAGGCCAAACAGTATTGTAATTAATATAGTTTCTGTGTGATTATTTGTGTCTGGGTGGCTGAGAAATGAAAACAGATTATCTGTTTACACTCGTGAAATTAAAGATTATTTTTTTTCTGGAAGATATTCATCCATAAAATGTACATTTAAAGATAAACTATATATGCCCTTTTCCTTTATTAACCCTCAATGTGTACAGTATAAGCTTGAGGCATAGAGTCTGAATTCCCAGCAACCATGTAAATGTGGGATAGGATTGGTGGCCTGCCTGTAGTCCTAGTACCCAGAAAGCAGACAAATTGGCAATATGGCAAGCTAGACGAGATTAATCAGTTATATACAGGTTCAATCAAGAGACCCTGCTTAAACTATAAGACAAAGTGTGAAGAAAAAACTTGACATCAACTTCTGGCCTCCATATACATAAGCATAGAAGAATGCTCAAACACACACACACACACACACACACACACATATACACATACACACTTGGACCTATATACATGTAAACAAGCACACATATACATGCACACCTCACACATAATCCTGAAAGGAAAAAGAAAAAAGTCAAGGATTCATTTTTCAACAGAAATCTTAGAAAAGTTTTAATTAATGTCCTCCCATTAGCACACACACACACACACACACACACACACAATTATCTGTTAAAAGGGCCTTAAGCTTTAGTGTATTTCAGATACAAAAGGCAAAAAGTTTAAACTGGTGATTTAAAAAAGGCCATATATTTGTAAATTTAGTGACTGTTTAAAATTTTCCTAGATATTATCTTACTGTAATTTCAAGCCACTTCTTATAATCCTCTGGTCCAAGTAAAAATTCTGGAAGTACATGAGAAATGCATCCACCTTGAGCACTGAAAGAAACCCCAAAATTATAGAACTATTTTAAACACTTGCTGTGACTTTCAGTTACATTATTTCAATATTGTCATATTTGTTATATTTGCATAATTTATTTAAAATCCATGCCAATAATGAAATTATGCATGGTATTGCCTTTATGAATTTGAATAATGAGAAAATTTAATGTTTGTAATCACAACTATATTTATATGTTCATTGAATATATAGTATCCTATAACTTGGGTCTTTTTAGGCAAGATAATTATTTTATTACTGTCTTAACAATTACAATTTCAAAAACATCTACAAAATGCTTAAATACAACAAATCAATCTATGAGATCATTAGTAGTCCAATAACATATGAATGACTACCACACAGTTTACCTAAAACTTTACATACTCCTCCTATAAATAGCCATCATAGTTAAATTACTATAGTGTTGAAAAAGTCTTTTTTTCTTTGTAACATGAATCATTACCAAGACTATCCATCCTAAGGCATAAATTAGAATTATAGTACATATAATTCCATCAAGTTGGAAACGTGTGAGAGAGGTAAAAGAGAATAAAACAAGAGACAGACAATTCAGAGGTATATGGAGAAACTAGAACATATCAATGTGACTAAAGCAATGTAATATTTTAGAAGGAAGTTGTCGTTTCTAACAAAGGCTACTCACAGCCTAATGAAACAGGATGAAGTAAAGAAAAGCTTATCAAGGAATAATTTAACTTGTTAGTTATGAGTACTCTATTGTCTAGCTGAATAGAGCTGTGTAAAAATTGAGGATGATTAATACAGTTGTGGACACTGATATCCACTTTTTTTATTTCCAATATTTCTCAAAGCCTAACTTTATGATTAATTAGACTGCAATTATGTTTTTGGCTCACCAGTAGATTTTATGTCTACTTTGTCATCTTTTATAGAATTGTATTAATGACACATTTGGTTATACTTTTCCATAGGCTTACTGCTTCAGTACCCTAAGTTTACAATGAGTATTTGAAAACAAGAATAATTATAATAAATTAATCAATTCTAAATGTAATCCTCAAATATTAGAGGTCTTTAAAATTCTAACTTAAAATCTAAACATGACTCATGCAACCACTAAGTAGTAAACAAATGTCCATACCCATTGAGGTAACAATTTTAGGGGGGAGCAAATAACATTTACAAGTATTGTGCAGTTTAATACATGTATTTCCTTGATGAAACATATGCACATATCTTTGATTAATGATACGATTTTATTAACAATGTTGTCACTTTCTAAATGTTAAGTAATTTTTTATCACAGTAAACATATCCTGACAGCAATGAATTTGCTGATGAAGAATAAATCTGAATGGCTTGGCTTTAATGCCAAAAATCATTCTACCATACCTGCAATGGTCATACAAAAAAATGTCAAAATAGAATGACCCATGTTAATGTCAAGACATTATACAGAGCACATTTCCATACAAAAGCACACAGTAGAGCTAAAATTATTTACATAATTGTATTTTTGCTATTTTCTATAACTGACATAATTTTCCCATCCTCTCACTTTGACTTCATTTAGAGCAGTGGTTTTAACCTGTGCATACGACCCCTTTGGAGGTTACATATCAGATATGATGAATGCCATGTAATCATATTATAATTCACCACAGTAGCAAAGATACAGTTATGAAATATCAGCAAAAATTTTTATGACTGGGGGTTAAAATATATGGGAATGTATTAAAGGGTCCCAGCATTAGGGAGGTTGAGAATCACTGATTTAAAGGTATGGAGAAAAGTAAAACTTTAACTTTCATATATGCTCTGTTTTATTAATGTTATATAACTCCTCAAATCTCTTATGGTAAAAACTCAAAATTTCAGACCTGTCCCTTATCATTACCATTAATGAAACATGGCTTTGGGGAAGGTGAATATTCACTGTCATTAAAGACTCAAATTCAACGTCAGGTTTCCTTATATTCACAATACCATGCTAAGTCACTCATCCACTTTTATATTTTCGATGTGTTACTCTTTTCTAAAGAAAAGCTAGCAAATTATCTCAAGTCTGTTGAAATAGGAGCGGCGGCAGGGCTGCGTCCCCGGCACCCGGCCGCCCCCATGGCTAGCTTATGCCCAGAAATAATTACACGGAAACTGTATTCTTTCAAACACTGCCTGGCCCGGCTAGTTCCAGTTTCTTATTGGCTAGCTCTTACATATTGTTCTAACCCATTTCTAATATTCTGTGTAGCCCATGAGCTGGCTTACCAGAGAGGATCTTAACCTGCGTCTGTCTGGAGTGGGAGCATCATGGCGACTCACTACTAAGCTTCTTTCTCCCAGAATTCTCTTCTGTATACTCCGCCTACCTAATTTTCTATCCAATAAAATGGGCCAAGGCAGTTTCTTTATTAGTAAGAAATCATTCCCACATCATTTCCCCTTTTTCCGTTTAAACAAAAAAGAAAGGCTTTAACTTTAACATAGTAAAATTACATATAACAAAACAGTTATCAAGTAAGAATTACAGTTACAATATTTATATCTATTTTATCTCTTATCATAACTAAGGAAAACTATAACTATCTATTCATTCTTCAACTCCATCAAAGACTCCAGAAGGATATAATACTA